ACCTCCCAGCCACTTCATTAGTGCCACATAATCGACGCAGTTCTACACAAGACGCCCTGACCATACATCGACTACGTAATCATCTCTTAGCCGCACACAGCGACCAGCACAATGACAGAATCATCGACTGACCTTCCAATTCCCAAGTACATCGGAGCAGCGGACGATGTACCTGTACAGGACTGGTTCGACCTGTTCGAGTTCCACGCTACCGCTGCATCTTGGTCGGAGCGGGAGATGGTTACGAACTTCAGCGACTACGTCACTGGTGAGGCATTTAAATTTTACCTAATTCACATATTCGAGAACGACGAGTCATGGCAAAGAATCAAAGAGGAGATGATTACTCGTTTTAATGACTATGACCAAGACTCACTCATTGCCAATCATCTAGAGAGAACTGCACACTATCGTCAATTTCCTAAGCAGTCCTCAAGCATTCGAAAGTCCAGCGCGAATCGACAAGTGCCTCAAAACGAAGTGGCACATGCGTTTACTTACAGAAGGCCATAACGTATATTGGGAAAAACCCAACCTTCAAGGCGCAGCTCCCTTGTGCACGAAAGTCGGAATTTCCAAAGACGTGGCCTGGCTCATACCCCATGGTTTATTCCGCTCTGCACTTCTTCCTCCTCTTGCTTCTACCAACCGTCGCTACCTTTTACGTCACATATATAAGCTTATTATTGTTAGTATACTTTTTCCTTATGAATTGTTGTCATTTAGCCTACTTATTTCACTTACTTATCTCGTGTAGTTTTTTCCCCCTTGCTGTTTTACATTGCTTCCGTATGTATATCTCCACTCCACTCGTATTGCCCTCGTGCCCTGAGGGTACAATAAATTATATATATAAATGAATAAATAAATAAATAAATAATACGCCCTATCTATCGTGATATTACGCATACTGCATTTGTCGTGAGCGAATACCTATCTATGCTCATATCCTCCCACTTCAACATTTCCAACACCAGGCCATTCACATCTTAAGATTCATTATTCTATTCACCAGCGTGTCCCCACTTTCTCAGTAACATAGTGTACTAACACTGAGTAACTCATTTAATTATAAACTGGCAATTCTTATATTTGGGTGTCCTGACGGTTTCGTAAGAGCAAATATCTTGCAAAAATTTTAACTTGTAAACGCTAATTTCACCAGGGTCGCCTTTAAATCAATTTTAGTTCCATATACACGCTCTACACACTCATATACGGCAAACGCACTACCATATTTGCTGCCATACAGTTGCCGAATTTAATACCACTGTACACAAATAATTGTCATTCAATTTATAAAAACTTCCTACCATAATTTCACAATCATAACTAATTTGTATTTATATATTGGTATTTTCTTATCTTCAGAGCTATTACTGTACGAGTAATTTTTACATTGATCACTTATGTAGATTTCAGTTGTCTGGTGTAATATTAGTTAAAGTCTCTTTTGTGCAAGGTTCTGTTTTAATTTCTTCACAGTCTTGTATAATTACTAAAATTTGTTTGATTACTATTTCTACTAGAATTCTCTTGCAAGTTCGCCTTGTCTTTATTCCTACAAAAATGCATTTAGGTTCAAGGAATATGAACATGCTAGAAATAAAGTTATTCAACAGTGGAAAGTACACCCAGCACTCAAAAATTTGAAGTGGGCTCAACTTTGCTTTCACCTCTGATGACAGACAGTACTGTGGTGTAACTGTGGGCACAGATGACCTAACAGGGCAGCTTTTGCTTGTTTCAAGATAAATGAAACTGAAAACATGCATCTCTACAAACTTTATTTGCAATTTTTATTATTCAAAGCAAATATGAAGTCTCAATAGGAACATGTTCGCTCTGGCAATTTATGGGTTCATTTTACAATTTTATATGTTAGCAAAGAATAAGTTGCACTATAGTTTCCTGTCAAGCAGAATGAGAAAAAAGCTGTACTGAACACCTTCAGAAAAAGTCCGCAAATGCAGATGCTGTCCTGATTGCAGTACTTGTCCACACTGAGCCGAGCAGTACCGGCAGCATTCCAGCTCCAGTGACTGACCTGCATTGCTTTGAAAACCAGCCTCTAACTTAGGAAGGAGAAAACAAATGGTTTTAAAATTCTAGTTCACCAAACTGCTGTCTAGCAACATCTTTACTTGTTTTTCAAGACAGTGGCAGGCAAAGAAGTCTGTTTTTCTACGTGTGTCAACATCACAGAGGATGTCACAGAGATGGAATAACATCGAGTACTAGAATCAACAGCTGTACAAGCTGCTAATTCAAAGACTGAACTCAAAAAGTGAAAGCATAGGGAGGATTTCATTGTTACAAATTGTGAGACGTGATTCCGTACTTAATCTACTGGACTGTTCTACCAATTAGGCTGAATACAGATAAATCACCGAACTGAATAGAAGCGATACTTCAATAGTAAGATGAAATACTGCCAAATAGTTGCTAACTTTGTGTCGTTGGTTACCACAGCTACCCGCTTAATTAGGCGGAAGTGAAAACACGTGTTTGCCACGTGATTGTCAGATCTTGTTTTCAATTTTTTGCCTTCGTTTTTCTAGAATACATTCAACGATCGTTTTGCACGGCTTTAAAATAATGTCGCACTTATCAATGTTATTCTTGCACCTCAAGTACAATAAAAAAAAATTGGTTTTAACGTTGCGTGCGCAAAGATTGATTGTTGCAACACGTTAGAACAAGCATGAACTGCAAATTGATGAACCCTTTTTTTAAACGACGTGCCCATAGACGACTTTTTTGAGGAATGAAGCTACTTACACCGTGGATAATACGTCCCGTGTTTGTAGTAGTAGCCACCTCTCGTTTCGTCCTTAGAATGTCTGCTCGATGGCAGTACATCCATATGATGGATATAAGAGGATAAAATGTGAGATGGTGGTACTAGAAATGTTCACTAGATGGATGGATTGACCTACCCACAGAAGGCCGGACGGACGGACGGACGGACGGACGGACGGACGGACGGACGGACAGACAGACAGACAGACAGACAGACAGACAGACACATAGAAAGACAGATAGATGAACGGGTGGACGGACGGATGGATGAATGGACAGAAGGTCGAGCGCATGGACGCGTCGCCCCATTCATCATTGCCTCAATGAATATGCTGGAATTTTTTTGTTCAAAGAGTGCGGGAGAGAACTGATTCATGCAGCAGATTGTTGGCAGACCAGTTAGTACCTACTGAAGGTGAAACAGCATGCTTAGCATTGTTGCGAAACGAGCGCATTTATTCCATTGCAATTTCAATCTGGAGAATTGCCATTTCGCTAAAACTGTTGCTTGGGCGAGTTGGCTAAACAGCGCTGTGTGAGTGGTCTCTTCTAGAAGTTCAGTCTTTCTTTGCGCTGATAAGTCAGTTTAAAGAATTGCAACTGGACACTACTTCAATCATCTCAATTTCTCGGAATGAAAAATCTTAGCCCATTCCCACTCCGGGAATGACCGTGAAGGCCGATCCCATTCCTACAGTTTGAAAACGTACAAAAACACATATTTAGTGCTTTGTCGAGCTAAGAATGAGCGCCCCATAAGCTGATGTCACGAGATGCATGCAGAACTGCACAAGTAGTCAAAATACGTTACCGCGGACGAGGAAAAGTAGCTTGGTGCCTGATCTCATGCAGGCCCCACCACAGTGGTCTAGTGGCTAAGGTACTCGGCTTCTGACCAACAGGTGGCGGGATCGAACCCCGGCTGCGGCGGCTGCATTTCCAATAAAGGCGGATATGTTGTAGGCCCGCGTGCTCAGATTTGGGTCCACGTTAAAAAACCCCAGGTGGTCGAAATTTCCGGAGCCCTCCACTACAGCACCTCTCATAATCATATAGTGGTTTTGGGACGTTAAACCCCGCACATCTATCTATCTACACACACATACACACAAACACACACACACACACACAAACACACACACAGAAGGGTATTTCGCTAGCCAACGCAGTGACATGTAACACGACGCCATTCACTTTTCCACAATCTGCACCCACTGCGCACGCGCAGCAATCCAAGGCAGCCGAGTTGCCTATGGGACGAGTCTTGGTGGCGCTTGCACACCGGCTAGAAGCGGTACAACGCTAGCTCCAGCCCTTAACTGGTTGCACGGGTGTCGCTTTCTTTTTCGCGACCGTTATCAATTGCGTTACACTCGTTCCTTAACAGTGCAAACGCAACGTAGTGAAAAAGCGAAACCGATGGCTTTCGCTTAGCTCTATGGGCCTGTAGGGACTGTGCATTTATGGCCACGCAGGCGATATTTTATCAGCAGTTGCATTTCGGAAAAGACAATTCTTCTTGCAACGTTGCATAAATCGGCCCTCACACTATTCGTTGAGAACACATTGCCACGTGCGTGCTGCGAGGAAGACGACAGCGGATAAGTGCTTCTGTGTGCTTTTTGCAGAAAGCACTCACGAGGCAAAAGAGGAAAGCTCTGGCGCGCGATAAATATAAAGACTGACCTGTTCCTACTTTCTCAACCTCTTGATACCACCTCTCTTTTCACGTCGCGATAATATATTTGTACTTAGCTTGAAATCTTTGGAACAAGACTGAGGCTGAGAATATTTCAGCAATGTTGACTTCTCGCTATCTACAACGCAAGGCTTTGACGAAAGCACGTCTGCTTGGGAAGTAACATAAAACTAAAAGCAGTGGATCCACAAAAAAAAAGAGAGAGACAAAACCGGAGAATGTGTTTCGGCTTCCCCGAGGAGAGCTTTGTTCACAATTTCGTCAACAAGGCACCCGTCACTGTGAGCAAGGCTGCGTCAAGGTCATCGACACGTCTCTTTTCCGCATTTTTCTTTATGGTCAGTGTCCTTTTCCTAATTATCATCACGCACGTTTGAGGACACATGAATAGGAATATTCACTACAGTTAATAAATAAAACGTGCCTGCTCAAAATACATCATGCCAATGTTCAATTTTGTAGACGGCCTGATGACCAGTTGACGCGGTGGTTAGGGCTAGTCAACTGTGCGGATGGCTTCAGGCGTGTTCGTTTTACCTCCAGCTTTAAAAGCTTCAAACTTATGAGGGACGGGAGGGGTAAGTGTTCTATGATACGTAATTGTAAATAACATTACCTTGAGTCAGGCAAGTTAGTGCACTTTGTGAGTGTTCACTAATTATGCAAACGACACAGATGCGAGGAACAGATGCAGGATGACTGACCCTTTCTCTACCGGACAAGCGACGCTCCTGTTATGTCTTCTATCTTGGAAGTTTGCGCGCTTTATTGATGAACACTGCGTTTCGGTCGCACAACTTTACTTCCTGCTTTGATTTAATACTAGACCTGCAAGCAGCTAGCAGCTGGTAGTAGGAGCCTTGTTGGTATGAGAATTGTTACTGTATATTTAAAAGCTAAACTGACAACACTGTCGTGCATTTATAGTGTTGTTCATAACAACCCAAAGTTAAGGACCTAAATGAGGTGTTTTGAGGGTGTTTTTACGAAAACTCCAAAGTTTTAAATAGGACTGTAAAAAGGATGCCTATATTGGTGCTTTTAATGCGTACGCCCAATTTACACACTTTTAAGTGTAAATATCTTTGCAGTGCGCCGATGCTTGCCGTGCGACCACGTCGACAAACGAAACGCCAACGGGGCATGCTTTCTGCTAGTGAGCGCTTATCTTTCCTGGCCGTCACTGGCGTTGCGTGTTAGCGAAAGAGATCGCGTTCGGGAATGGTGATGTCACGCCTGGAACACCGACGAGGCGTAAGCCAAGAAAGCCGAACGAAAGCGTCGGCTGTCGAAGCCCAACGACACCGATGAAGTGCGAGTCAAGAACGCCGATCGCGTTCGAGAATGGAAACGGCGTGCAGGTAACACTGACGAAAGGTGAGCCGAGGAGACGAAGCGCAAGTGTCTTCAACGCATATTCCTTTGTCTTTACGTTTTGAACAAACGTTTACTCCAGTAAGCACTACACTGAGTTTAAGTTCAAAGCGTTCTTCTAGCATCCACATCGACGCCCGTTACAACCTGGTCAACGCCGTGCGCACCACGGCTGCTTCGTATCCCAACAGGGTTTGCATCGGAAAGATGGTCCATCATTTTTAATTCTACTTCGTATCCCATCAGGGTTTCCTTCGGAAAGATGATCCATAATCTTTAATGCAAAAGCAATTATGTTGGCACTCTCGGCTGGATTTTTTCGTTGGTGTCGGCTTGATAGTCGGCATCGCCGTCACTCACCGTATATGTTTACCTATCTGTATATGTGAAAATGAAACAAAAAAACAGGAATAGACTCTGGCGCATGGAATCGAACTTGGTTGCTCACTATCGCGAGTGCGACGTGTTAACCACTGAGCCACCGAGCAGCACGTTCTTAATCGTTCTAACGGCAGGCTATTTATGTCTACCACTTTCTACTGCTTACGTACAACTCGGGGACAACTATCGTGTTTTCAACATTACCAGCAACATGGCATATTGACCGCGGATCACAACATGGCGCGACGGCGCGCGCTCTAATCTCCCACACGTACTTTTTTCTGCTTAAAGGCCAAACCTCATAAGCGCTAAAATGCACGCGACAGCGACGAGCGACGCGACGTAGATCGTCTTCGTGCGATCAGTCGCTAGCGCAGGCAAACCTCATGCACGCGACGGCTTCGGAGAGCGAACTCCACTGTTGCTGACATGAGGCCGTCTACTCGCACCAAGAAAACCACGTAGTGAGCTTTATGTAATTAAAAAATAAGATATATTGTTGTGTAATGGAACGAAAAGTGTTTATTAATGCCTTGCAGCACTTTTTATATGCACATGCGTAATAAACATTGTGTCATTTCTTGTTGCGCATACGTGACTCGGGCACGGTCACTTATGTCTTTGTCAGTCTTTGTCTTTTCCGGTTTTTCACTATTGGCTGCTTGAGCCCAGCACTTCTGGGCGATTAGCGACGGTTTCCAAATCTGGAGAACCGAGCGATCGCGCAAAAAAGAGCACGCGACACGTCGCGCGAACGCCCTGTTTTGTCGCTCATAGCATCGCTCGTTGCTGTAGCGCGCATTGTCGTGCTTAAGAGGTTTGCTCTTAAAGGAGTGGAGCGACGCTCCCTCGCACACCCTTATTAAACAGCAGGGAAGAAGGGAGGATTGTACGTCTTCGCTGACTTCGGGCTTTACCTGAAATGATTCTGTTGTAGTTACCGGGTGTGCAAAGGTCACTGCAATATTTGTATACTCTATTTGCGAAAATTGCGTGCTTCTATGACACAGCAAAGTAACAACAGAAACGCCCAATCGCGTGCATCTGTGCCCATGAGTTTCTTTTGTGCGCCATTTTTGCGTGAAAAACGCGGGGCGCATTCAGACCTGCTTTTTATTCGGCACACACATGACCATTAAATTTGTGGCTATGGCGTTCATTGCTTCTCTTTTGCAGCAAAGCTATATTTTGTTAGTAGCTACTATCGACGACACATATCTTAGGGGAAGCTGCCGTGGCGCTGTAATTTATGGGAAGGCTATGCAGCACGTAGTCATGTCACACTGAGCTGAACAACAGCAAGGTGGAAACTTTGCGTATATGCGCCCAGAGGAAGCCATCACACGCACTTCACCACTTTTTACGGCTACGAATCAATCGCAATGACATCATTTATCCCCCGAGCATCGTTAGCCAAAGTATAGCTTTACAAGCTAAGTGGGTGCCTTGTGGCAGCTGGGGAAACATTGTCGGTCGTCAGCGTTGTGACAGAGTCACTCAGCGAACGTTAAGATAGAGGAAAATAATAGTAGCACTATTTTCGGGGTTTGACATCCAAATGCCACAATGTGATGATAATAGATGTCGTTGTGGAGGGACGCGGAAATTTTGGCCATAGTGTGCAGGCCGGTCCTTTCGTCGCTCGCTCTCCGACCGAAAAGACGAGTGCTTGAAGAAGAGAGCAAAAGAAGACGGCAACAAGCATTTTAGTCTGTTCATCAAACGGACTGAATAAACTGCGGTGAGGAGACTTGGGAGGAGCAACCGAGAGATTAAAACCTGTCTCCCGGTTCCTCATGGTCGTTTTGGTCACACCTAACACGACAAACCTTCCACGACATGGCCAAACCTTCCCCGACATGGCGCCTTGGAGAGTCCTCACCGCCGATGGCCTTCATCCAAGCTTCGAGGGCGTACCGATGCTGGCGCTACACTTCAGAGAGGTACTCACCACCACGACAAGCCGCTGGCACCCTTGCCCCGCCGCGGTGGTCTAGTGGCTAAGGTACTCGGCTGCTGACCCGCATGTCGCGGGATCGAATCGCGGCTGCAGTGACTGCATTTCTGATGGAGGTGGAAATGTTGTAGTCCCGTGTCCTCAGATTTGGGTGCATGTTAAAGAACCCCAGGAAGTCGAAATTTCCGTAGTCCTCCACTACGGCGTCTCTCATTATCATATGGTGGTTACGGGACGTTAAACCCCACAAATCAATCAAGGAACGCTCTGCGTACCAAGGAGTTCGTCGGGGTGCGGAGGACACGCAAGACCAAAAGCCAAGACATCGGCTGTTCCAACGAAGAACCAAGCCACCAAGCTGAGGCTGCGGTGCGGCAGGCATCGACCCGAGGAAGTCAGCGGTCTTGCAACGGCCATCCCCATTCTCAGTCAGGTTACAACCCCGGCGACACCGAGCGATGTCGAGCATCTCACGGCGGGCAAGACAAGAGAGAAGCGAGTAGCAACTTCAAAAGTAGTGAGTCCTCTGGTGTTCTTACATCTCAGGGGTGCCGCTACATTTTTTGAGTTTTAAGGTGTCCAAAGGACACGAGGTTTGGCCACTTAAACCCGGATAGGCGAGCTCAGGCCACGATTCGTGAGTTCATAGAAGAGAGTGATGCAGCAAATCCAGGAGAAGGTAGTGCGCGGGAGAGCCAGAGAGATGACCGTTTCGGAAATCTCGCGCTGGAGCGTAGACTGCAGGAGTTGCGGTTGGAGATGGAGAGACTGGTGCAGATGATGGGTGGAAGCTCTCGGTGGAGTGGACGTGAGTTCGGCAGGCGGGATCTGTGTAGTGAATGGAGAAAAAGAAAACACATCGTAGGCAAGCAATATCCACACCGCGCTTGGGTACTGGGTTCTGTGTTCTTCTCGCTCGCCTCGTGCTGATCGTCACCGGATATTCTTGACCGTTGCTCTGTCCCGATCATGTTTTCATGGTAGGGCCACCGTCGCAACACACGCCAATAAAACTTTTTTCAATTGGGTCAACACCATCACTTCGGGATGGGCAAATAGATTTCTGAAAAAGTACAGTAAAATGGTGAAAGAGAAAGAAAGGGAGAGGAATATAGGGGATGACAAACATGGAACACTGACCCATGACTCACGGAGCCTCAAGCGGTATTCTCAGGTGTCCAATGTAGGTAAAAAACCTCGGAACCAGGAGCGAGAGGAGCCCAGAACGCTATACCCAAGCGTGGTGGCGATGTTGCTTGCCAACAATGCGTTTTCGTTTTCACAACCCGAAAGAACGCGCATCCACATAGAAGCGTAAAGGGGAAAGTTGGAAGACTTCTCCAGTGGAAAAGTGTTGTGTGAAGTTTCATTTGGAGAGCTATTTAGGAAGTGTCACAGGTTTCCTTGTCGGGCACCTGCTGGTGAGGAGCTTGCGGTAGTTAAGGGGTTTAGTGTGCCAACCATAGGGATGGATCTAATAGAATTTCAGGTATCGTGTGGGCACTACCTAAGCTACGGGCTAAACTACGCGGAGGTAGCTCGTCTGTTCTCTGAACTAACGGGAGAGCAGATTGCGGACAAAATTGCGTGGGCAGATGGGGCGTCTCGGTGGCACGGAGCCACACTCTGTGAGGCAGCGACATTGATGAGAGTAGATCGCAAAAAGCTATATTGGCTCGTAGTGAACTTGTCCATAGCGACCTCTGAGGTCTACCGATCACGGCGGGTGAAGAGTGACGCTCAGGCGTCGATAGAGTTTGCGCGAGACGGGTTTTCTCTAACTCAATGCCGAGATTTCTTGTCAGTGAGCTGGAGTTCGGGTGAGTTCAAATTCTGGCCATTCAGGGCACTGACGACCATGGTCTG